TATAAAGCTACAGTAATCAGACAGCGTGGTATTGGCACAAAAGTAAACAAATAGATCAGTGGAACTAGAGTATCCAGAAAGGGTCCCCATGTTTAGTCACCTTATTAATGACAAAGGTAACTTGGAGTGGCATTGGAGAAATGAGGACCCTTTTTCAGTAAATGATGATGAGTCAACTAGGAATCTAGATGGAGAATGAATTTTGGCAAATACCTAATGCTTTACACAAAAATTATTTTCAGATGCACCCTAAGTCAAAATGTGAAAGATAGTAACTTTTTAAAATAAGAAAACAGTATTTCTTCATGACCTTTGGGGTAGGTAAGGATTTCCTAAGCTTCATACAAAAAACACTACTCAAAGGAAAGACATACATTAAAATTAAGAACCTTTGCTCATCAAAAGACAAACTATAAAGTGTGAAAAAACAGTCCTAATATTCACAGGATTTGTCATATGTATATTCAATATAGGATTTGTGCTTAGAATATAAAGAACTCCATCAAATAAGAAAAAGGTACTCTACCTAATTTAAAAATGGGCAAAAGACTTGCACAGGTACCTTGCAAAAAATATTCGGGTAGCCATAAATATGTGAAAAGGCATTCACCTTCAGTTACTAGGTAGTAATGACCTGGTGCAGCATCACTGTAGGCCCAGCAGAATGGCTCCACTGAAAAAGACAACGAATAGCAGGTGTTGGAGGGGGTGTGGAACAGTTGGAACTCTCAGACTGTCTTCTGCCCATTTTGCTGAGGCCAAGCTTCTAAATGTCCCTCAGTTGCTGTCCTGGCCTCTGCAGTTGTGGCCACAATTTGCACGTCCCCGGGTTACTGTGAGTATGAGGGTCACATACAATGCCTGGTTAGGCATGTTGGCCATGCACCACGTGTAGGAGCTTGTAGAATCTTCCTTTCAGGACTTTCTGTCCTGCTCTTTCCTCTGGGTTTGTCCGTAAGGGCCTCCTTGTAGTTACTAGAGTTCTTTTTTTTTTTTTAACTGTATTTACTTATAGAGAGAAGGAAAGGGAGGGAGGCAGAGAGGGAGAGAAACATCAATGTGCATGAGACACATTGATCAGTTGTTTCTCACACACCCCCAACCACCAGGGACCTGGCCCGCAACTCAGGCATGTGCCCTGACTGGGAATTAAATTGGATACCCTTTGGTTCACAGGCCAGCACTCAATCCACTGAGCCACACCAGCCAGGGCTAGAATTTTTTTCAGAGATTATTTAACAAAGGCAATGATGATAACAATAATGGTATCATCCGCAGTAACTGCCCGTTTAGATATCTGTCTAAAGTATGTCTATCTAGATATACTTGTCTCTTCCTCCTACCAGCACCATAGAGGTGGGTACTAAAGCATTGAGGTGCCATTGCTGCTCCCATTTTACAGCTGATAGAACTGAGGCGCACAGAGATTAATGACTTGCTCAAGATCACCGAGCTAAGTCCAGACTTTTCACTTCTTGCTCTGGTTTCTTTGGCTAGTTCCGTAACTTATCCCATGAAGTCCTCTTTCCATGACTGTTTGGATCCAGCCTGAGTTCTCCTTCTGAATGTCTGGAATATTACATCTACAGTTTAGTAATAATATTAATTATGGCCCCCATCACAATGACCACAGCATAATAATACTAGTAGCGGCTAGCCCTGCATCTGTTGAATGCATCTGTGTGCCAGAGGCCATGCTTGGCTCTATGTGTTATCACGTCGAGTCCCTGGCACAGCCCAGCGAGGAGGCCTTGACTGGTACTGGCGCATTATAGAGGGTGAGCTCCAGAGAGTGAAGTGTCTTGTCAAGGCCACAGTTAGGAAGTGGCAGGGCCAGGGGTCAAGCCCAAGTCTGTCTGTTGGACTTCAAACACCTGATCCCATCACTACGTCTCTGTGCTACCACTTGCTGTATTTGGCTTTTGGACCCTTGACCGTGTTCTGTCTTTGCATGCTGAGATATAGCATGTTCATCAAGGCGGTTCCATACCATCCTTCCATTCAGTATTTATTGAGCACCTATTGTGCCCAGTACATTTTGGAATTACGGAGATCAATAAGATGATGTTTCTGATCTTGAGGAACTCAGGTCTAGTAAGGGATGCAGATCATTGCAAATGAGGAGGTCTCTACAGCAGCAAACACATGTGGGTACAGAGGTGCCAGAGAGGAGGGAATAATCAGAACCCCTGGGGAAGGAGGGCAGGGAGGTTCTTTAAAGAAGGCTTTACCAAGAGGTGCTTGAGGTGGATTTTGAAAGAGAAATAAGAGTTTGCTGATTGGTTAGGGCAGCAGGTGCATTCCAGGCAGAAATCATGGTGAATAGAAGTCAGGGCTAGTCCTAAGGGTTTTAAACTCTCCTGTCCCTAATGGATATCATTCTATACAAGAAAGGAAACACCAGGGTGGGGAGAATCTGCCTCTTCCCTGGCACCAACAGTGCCTATCAGCAGGGGGTGGGCATGCTGTGGACTGCATGGAGAGTGTCACTGACGGCCATGGTGTGAGTGACACAGTGGCTCTGAAACTTTAGTGGAAGCTTGTTCAAAATGCAGCTGTGGGGTCCTGTGCCCAGAAGTCTGGTTGCTCTGAAAGAAGTGGGCGTGCCTCAGCACTTGATTGTGCTGCAGTGGAACTTGTGTTGTGGACAGGAGAGGAAGCCACTGTCAGGACAGAGTATGGAGAGACGGAATGGTTTCCTACAGGCAAAGGGACAGGGCGAATTTTATCTCCCTGTTTGTTTAATCTGTACACAGAACATACCCTGTGAAAAACTGGGCTAGACTCAGGAAGGAGGAATGAAAATTGGCGGAAGAAATAACACCTTCAGACATGCAGAGGATACCATCTTACGGCAGAAAGTAGCAGTGGTTTGAGGTGACTTCTGGTGAAGGAGAGAAGAAAGCAGGACTTACATGTGAACCTCAAGAAGACAAAAATCACGATGACAGAAGAAGTACACAATTTTAACATAGTTAAGATACTGAAATTGTTAAAGAGTTTGCTTACTTTAGTTCAATGATCAATTTAAGTGGGGACTGTAGTCAAAAAGAACTCAAGAGAAGGCGGAGATTCAGAAAAGCAGCAATGGAAGAATTGGGGAAGAGCACCACAAAGATAAGTGATTAGAGACCAAGGCCAAGGTCATCCACACCCTCGGATTCCCAATTACCGTGTACAGATGTGAAAGTTGGACAGTGAAGAAGGCTGATGGGGAAATGATTGACTTGAAATACAGTGTTGGAGGAGAGCTGTATAGATACCCTGGCCCACAGGAAGGTGAACAGGTGGGTCTTAGGGCGAATGAAGCCTGAAACATTGCTGGAGGTAAAAGGGACACAAGTGAAGCTGTCCTGCTTGCTGTAGGGATATCACGAGAGGGCAGGGTTCTTCGGGAAAAGACAATAATGCTGAGGAAAATAGGGGGCAGCAGGAAAAGATGAAGACACACACGAGATGCTCTGACTCCATAAAAGAAGCCATTGGTATGAATCTACAGGAGCTGAGCAGGGCTGTTGAGGACAGGATACTGTGGACATCACTCATCCACAGGGTCACGTAGGGTTACATGTCAACATTGCATAACACGCCTGGAGTCGGTTCTGTGGATCTAGGGTGGGGAGCTAGAATCTGCAGCTTAGGTGATTCTGATGCAGGTAGCCTGTGAACCACAATTTGAAAAACTCTGCTCTTCAGGCTTCATGGGGAGATGAGTCCAGGTGACATGAAGAAGGAGACTCATCCCAGGTGAACTTCTCCCCGAGGGAAACTGGCATCCACTCCCACGTGAAGCCCTGCCTGTAAATTTGGGCACAGGTGTTGGAGATTTCTGTTCTGGGAGGGCTGTTCTAGTTATTGCGTAGCAAATGTAAATCAAAACCTAGCCCCCTTAGTAGCAAATTGCTCCTTATTGTTCCACCCAAAAGATCCTAACTCTTACAGCTTGTATGTTTTTGGAGCTTTTCAGTGGGACAATCCTATCTAATCTTTCCCTGTCTTCCTCTCACCAACCCCAACCCCTGATTGCAGGGGGCTATAAAAGAAGTCGGGAGGTGACTCTTGGTATCCCCTTTGCTTTCCCAAGTCGGAGGCTGCCATGACAGCTCCTACCTCAGTCTGTGAGTCCGAGCGATGCCATCTCTTAAAAGCTGCTCCAGGTGGCAATCCCAGGCCAGCCAGCCAGGTTGCTGGGCCCAATAATGCTCAGGACTGGCCTCAGTGATTCAGTCACTGTCACCACCAGCAGAGGGCCTCAAAGACCGACTTGGGCCTTCCTATCTCTGCCCCAGCAGCTGGTATAGGTCTGGAGCAGCATAGGCCTTCCAGGGCCATTTTGGGGGTGAAATCTAGTGCCGTAGTCTCAAGCTCACTCGACTTTGTGAATTCAACAATCTGCACTCAGAAAATAGGATCAGTGCCCTGCAAGTAACTCCATGTGAGCTGTCAGTTCTGATGGGTGATCTGCACTTTGTGGGGAATAATGGATAGTCCAAAGGTAATCTTCTGACTGCACGTGATATTTACCCCAGGTGCTGGCTTTGCGACCCACCCTCCCTAAACTGTGACTCCATTGCAGGTCTCATGTTAGGCATTCAGACCTGAGCCGTGTGTCTCTTCTCGCTCCACTAGCATCCCACACAGCTGAGGAGTGTGTGAAAAAGGCCAGCGCCTGGACTCCCTCAGTGCCCCAAATCTGAATCTCTGGGTGGGCTCCCATGCTCCCACTTTACCCAGTTCTCCAGGTGGTCCTCTTACATATTCAAGTTTGAGGATGGCTGTCTTCAAGGGCTTGACCATTCTCTTGTCTCAGTTTGGGTTGGTGTGTTTCTGGTTGTCTGCCATTTTTCTTGAATGGTAAGTTCCGTCTCATCTGTCTCATGGAAATTGTACTAACTGGATCTGAAAAAGCACAGCCATGTTGTCCCCCAAATGTAGCTGGTGATCATTAGCCTGGCTTTCATTTCAGTCAGTAACCTTTGCTTTGCTTTTCTTTCTCTCAGGTATCTGTACCATGTTTTGACCAAAAACACCACAGTCACAGAACAGAACCGGAACCTGTTAGTGGAGACCATCCGTTCCATCACTGAGATCCTAATTTGGGGAGATCAGAATGACAGCTCTGTGTTTGAGTAAGGATTTAATTTTACTTCTTCCTTTGAGTATTTTTCTCAATGCACATCATGAATCATTCCTGATGATGTCAGAATTTGATGCCAACTTGGTCTTGTACAGATATCTGTGCTCTTTATCTATATAATAACAAGGAAGTTATGGAAATGAGTCTCTCTAGAAAATCTGAAAATATCATGCATATTTTTTTCTCATAGTGTCTGATTATCACCTCCAAGGAAGGAGACAGTGTCCTGGGTAGTTAGACCCTGAGTGAACTGGGGGAGACACCAGGGACAAACATCTGTTGTTTACCGATGGGCCGGGCGTGGTGCTAAGCTCCTGGTGAAATAATCCCCTGCATTTCCCAGGGACTCCAGGGTCGAGGCCTGGAGGCTTGTCCCCATTTACATGTGTGGTCACATGGCTGGTACATGTTGAAACAGCATCTCATACCAGAGCCCATGGGAGGGTTTATCCTTATTCTCATATTTTCTAGATGAGCAACCTTAGGCCTCAGTTTCCTCATCTTTAAAGGAGAGAAAGTTCCCTGCCTAGTGCCTGGTTTAGAGTAGGCACTAAGAAATGTTACCAGTTCATTAAAAAGGGAAAAAAAAAAGTAAAGAGGTGTCTCCATTGGACGATTGAAAAACAAAGGCCATAAACCATGAACTACTTCCTCAATAGACCTGTCTCAGCATCTGAGTGCAGAAAAATTTGGATTATGACAACTGCCAGGCAGATTTTATTTTTATATAAAAGGATCTCAATTAGAAGTATTGAGGCCACTTTTAAGACCATTCAAAAAAATAAAAATAAAGGTATCCTATTTCTAACGTGGCTTCTTATTAGATATCCTGATTTTCTGAATAGCCGTATGTTTTCATTAGTAAGCTTACCTAAGATAAAAGCTACTCCTGGAAAATGCAAACCTGTGACACTGGCCATGGTCCCCAAGGGGAAACGTGAGTAATGAAGTGAGGTGTGGCTTATAAACGGGACCAGCTTCTGTTAAGGCTCCCTGGGGGGTTGGTTGGTTGGTTGGTTGGTTGGTCTCTGTTTTTGGAAATGAGAGAGACCCTTGGGTTAAAGCTTAGTAACCATGTCCCCTTTTAATAGAATGGACTTCCTTAGTCCATCTGTCAGCTTAGAAGAACTCCTGAGCTCTGAGAGGCCCAGTGATTCTTAAATGGCTGCCTAACAGAGCCCCCAAAAGAATTTGTTTTTAATACATTTTTTATTTTGGAATACTTTTAGATTTACAGGAAAGGCATAAAGCTGTAAAGGTAGTACAGAACGTTTCCATATGCCATTTCTGCTGTTTCCCCATTGCTAACGTCTTAGGTTACTGGGGGGCATATCTCAAATTTGAGTAGCTGACGTTGGTGCCTGATTGTTAAGGAAACTCCAGACTTGATTTGGATTTTGCCAGATTTTCCATCAATAATCACTTTTTGCTCTGGGATCCCAATCCAGGCTCCCACAGTGAATTTAGTTGTTAATATTTCCTCACTTTTCTCTGGTCTGTGACCTTAGTTTCTTAGCTGTCTCTTGTTTTGGTGACCTTAGCAGTTTTGAAGAGTACCGGTCCTGCCAGGGAGCGAGGGAATTAGGCTCCGCCTTCTGGAAGAGGGTCATATCTGCACATGCTATTTGAAATTCTTCTGCATGGAAAATTTGTTTCTGCTTCCCTTTTTAAAAATGTATTCCATCCTTTATTTATATCAGTGTGAACGCATGGATATTTATTTTATACTTTGGATTACAATCCAGTACTGTTATTTACTTTGTTGCTGACTTTTTGTGGCTCTGGGCACTGGAAGCTCTTTCAGGTTGGTTCCTGTGTCATCCGACACGCCCCCTCTGTTTCGTTCTGAGCATTTCTTCCTTTCTGGTACCAGAACATGCTCCAGGTTCGTCTTCTTTTTTTTCTCCCCCAGCCCTAGAATTAGTCATTTTTCCGAGGGGCCCACCACACTCCTCCAGGGCATTTTTAAAACTCCAGGCTCTTGGATTTCACGATAGACCCAGGGTAACAATCTGTGGGCAAAATCCAGGTCCAGGCATTTTAACAAGTTCCCAAGCTGGTCATTATTCTGCTGCAGTGGGCTTGTTGGGGGATCCTTGGTAGACAAGGTAAACAAATAGATCAAACAATAGGAATATTCTGGGGGATCATCATGAATGGCCACCAGAATCAGGGTTGGAAAAGATTTTAGGAATCTTTTTTAGGTAGTTCGTTCATATGTTTACTCTTTCATGGATTCAAACAGAAGGTGTGCAGCCCACGATCCTGCTTCTGTGAAACTGGTAATTGAGGGGAAAGAGTCACCAAAGCTAAGTCGACCAGCAGATACGTGTTTCTGCAGCAACTTGTCTGGAGTGTTCCAAATGAGGGGTTATCTGCTCTTAGCTAGAATTCAGAGACCACATAACCAGAAACACCACTTTCTTCCTTTAAAGGAATATACCAGCGGGTCTGTCTTCCCCAAAAGTCAGTGCCCCGGGCCGCGTGCAGACAGATGTCCTAGCAGACTCGGAGAGTGCCTAGGGTCCTACCGCCGTGTTAGCATCTTCTATTTCCTTCCCGTCCTTTTTCTGCAGATCTGGAAACTACAAACTTGACAACTTGGAAACCAAAACTCTTAATATTCGCATCATTTTGCTCCTTTGTGGGGAATTCCCAACGGTAACAGTCAAAGACAGGGGGCGCAAAGAGGCTTAGTAAGGAAAGTGAAGGATATAAAATACTCGATGAAAGATACTGCTACTAGTTTTGTAAGCATGGATAGATAACTGTGTAACCATGTAGTAGGTAAAGATCTTTCCCCTCCTGCTAGAAATCTAGCACTCTTCTCACATTCTGGGGAGAGAACCTGGAAGGTTGCATTTGCCCATCCAGCATCATGGGTGCTGGGTAGCATGGAAGCTGGGGTTGTGCGGGTGGCGTGGTCTGGCCGCTCTGCAGATGCCTTGCGGGGTGCGGGTGCCCATGTGTGCTGTGCATGATTTGGATGTCCAAATGCAGAACCAAACCACTGATGCTTTCCCATTCTCTCCCCAGCTTCTTCCTGGAGAAGAACATGTTTGTTTTCTTCTTGAACATCCTGCGGCAGAAATCTGGCCGCTATGTGTGTGTTCAGCTGTTGCAGACCTTGAACATCCTCTTTGAGAATATCAGTCACGAGACCTCACTTTGTAAGGACAATCCTTGACACCTGTCTCTGCACTGCTGAGCGTCGGCAGCGTCTAGTTTGGCGTGATTTTTTTGTTATTTTTCAGATGTCTGTGCTTACTGTGTATCTTAGTGTGCGTGGGCTGCCATGACAAAGCACCCCAGACTGGGTGGCTTAGACAACAGAAATTATTTTCCAGAGTCTGGAAATCCCAAGATGTGCCTTGAGGGTTGGTTTCTGTTGAGGCCTCTCTTCCTGGACTGCAGATGGCTGCCTTCTCATTGTGTCCTCATGTGCTCTCTCCTACGTGTGCACAGTTACAGTGTCCCTTTCTTTTCTTCTAAGGGCACCAGTCTTAGTGGATTAGGGCTCTATCCTATGACCTCATTTAGCCGTAATTACCTCCGTAAGGCCGTGTCCAGATGTAGCCACATTGGGGGATAGGGATTCCACATAGAGATTTTGGGAGCACACAGTTCAGTCTGTAATTTCATGTTTATCCCTGCACGGTGGTGCTGTGAAGGGCTAAGGGAGGGTTCCCTACTGCTGAGTGATTCTGGGGCATTTGCATTTCTTGTTTATAATTTATTACTCAAGAGTTGGAGTCAATCAGCCAATACAACAAGCATTGGAAGCAGCCGGGGTGGGGAGGGGAAGAACTCAGCCCCAGAGCATGCAAGGTATGGGCTTCGGCACCTGCCTGCCCGGCACGTGTATGACACAGAGCTTATTGCCTGCGTTCACTAAGCCTCCGAGAGCCAGGGGCTGTCACTGCCCTCATTTAACACCCAGAGGGTTTGAGTCACTGGCCCAAGGTGGCAGCTCTAGCAGAGCTGAAATGGAGAAGGGGATCAGCCCAGGTTAGTTAGCTCAATGTTCCTTAACTGGGGTTGATTATGCCCCTGGCAGACATCTGTCAATGTCCAGAGACATTCTTGGTTCTGGTAATGATGGTGGTGGTCGGGGCGAGGGGGCTGCTATTGGCATCTCATGAGACCAGGGATGCTGCTAAACTTCCTACAATGAACTGGACAGCTCCCACAACAAAGAGTTATATGATCTGAAATATCAACAGTGTTGAGGGTGAGAAACCCTGATGTAGTTCCTAATTCTCAATGCTTGACCATTGATCAGCTTTATTATTCCAAGATGACCATACCAAGCCCCAAGCACTACCCACAGAAATTAGGAAAGAGAATACAAATGACTAACTGTCTGTGTCAGAGGTGGGCTGTAGGTCCCCAAGACAGATTAGAAAGGAGGTTCTGGTGGGTGGGAGGAGGTAGAGATGTCATTGACATTCCTTTGGGGAAGAAGAGGTAAGAAAGCAGTTGAATTGTGGCTCTTAGCAGTGGCCGCTAGATGGTGCTGCTGCTCCAGCCAGACTCCTTACACTGACTCATGAATGTGAGTTGACTCACTCTCAAGTGGTTTCTCCCCCGTTATCAGTGTTTGTTACACTGGGTATGAATTATGTGTGGTTTTTGAAAACTCCAAGAGGGGAAGACCCAGCTCAGTGGTGCTTAGGTTCCAACTGTACCTCAGGCTGGCTCTGCCACATATTCTCTGCATGTGCTCTGGGCAGTGAACTCTCCGAGCAGCAGTGGAGATCATGCTAGTACCTGGGGAATGGAGTAGTTTGAGGATTACGTATGACAGGGTGTTTGCAGAGCATAGTATGAGGTCTGGCAGATAGATGGAAGTGTCCAGAAGAGTTGATTTTATCATTACATCTAGCATTCCTCCAAATACCTGTTTAATGGTAACGCTTCCTAAGCACAGGCTACTGGACCAAGGATAAGAATGGGGCAATTAAAACTCTGGGGCTTCTGAGTCAGATGGCTTTTCTTATATTATGTCTAAAAAGGGTGCCCTTCTATGAGAAACCGAAGCAGACACCACCAGCTTTACAGGAAATTCACCAGAGTACTTTTGTGAGTCCTGCCAAAGTGGCAGAAATCACTTCCTTTTTATAGAAATTGGATTAATAGGGGTAAGAGGATAGATGACTTTTGCCTTTGTTTTTTATTTTCTCATTATAGAAAGAAAACGTCCTCATTATACAGCAACAACAACAACAACATCAAACATTATAAAAATACAGAAAGCAGAAGTTCTGGAGAATCTCAGCCTAATAGTTTGGCGTGCACACACTATTTTGCTATTTGTTTTACTTTTCCCCAACCTACCCGCATATCTTAGACCTTCTGGCGGTCTGTTCATGCATCCTTGCCTAGTTCGGTTCCAGACCTGCATTTTGCTGGGCCATAACTTAATTAACTTGACCATGGGCATTTAGGTGGTTTCCAGATTTTCACTATTACAAGCAGCCATTACACAAATGCACCTGTTGCCTGTTGGGTTTGGTGACCTAAGCGACAGAAGGCCTGAGAGACCGAGATTACGTATAGACTCCTGGGTTTATTATGAAAGGGTACCACAGAAAGTCGGCCACAGAGTGAGGGGGTAGGAGAAAAATCCCAGCCAAATAATAGAGGCACCTCCGCTGCCCCCATGGCGGCCCCCACCACCCACAGAATCATCTCATGCAGGCCCTGGAAAAGTCCCCGCTGGGCAATGATTGGAGCATGTGGCTTTTCCAGCTCGAGAATGCAGCCCAGAGGCTCAAGATCGAACATCTAAAGCTGCCAGCATTGGCGTCTGTGCCTGTGGTGGCCCAGAAGTCTCTAACCAGTCCCAGTGAGGCTCAGCATGACATTTCAGGGGCCCATTCTCCTGCCAGCTCATTCATCCTCATCCATAGCCAGAAAGACAGTGAGAAAGGAGTGCTCTAGGCGTCAGCATCACCTGGACTGCTGGTTACAGGTCAAGATTCTAGGTGGGCAGATTGTGGACCGTTCGAAGCTTGGAATACTGTATAGCATAAGGAGGAAAAGGAATGAACTCCTACCACTACATGCAGCAACACGGGTACTTCTCAGATGTGATGAGTGAAAGAGGCCAGGCAAAGAGTGCGCACGCTGTGACTCCATGCATGCGAAGTTCAGGGACGGACAACACCAGTGTGTGGTGGTGGGAGTCAGACTAGGGGTCGTCTTTGGAGAGCGAGTAATAACTGGTTGGGGGCATGAGGAGCCTTCTGGGGAGCTGGAATGTGCTGCGTCTGATCTGGGTGGTGCTTATGTGTCTATATTTGCAAATATTCATCAAACTGAACACTTAAGATTTGTGAAATATATATGTGTGTATGTGTGTGTATACACATATATATACCGGTACAAAGGTACATGTACTTACCATTCATATATATGTACATTCCCACATGTATCAAGCTATACACCCAAGATGTGTGGAATGTATTACCTCATTTTTAAACAGTAAGGCTCCAGTATCTCCCTCAGTAACTGTTCTGACCAGGAGATTGTGAAAACTGTTCTAAGACTGCAGACTGCAGGGCCCGTCTGCAAAGCCAGAATACCCAGTGTGCTTTTCTGAATGCTTTCCTAGAGAGCTTCTGAGGGGGAACCAGTTTTGTAGCCCAGGCTATAGCCTCTCATGGCCCTGGGCTGCCTGGTGGCCCTTGGCATTGTGTTTGGTGATTCCAACTTATCTTTTCAGTAATACTTTGGCCTAAGTTGGGTACCTCTTTGGCACCGAATAACTTAATGATTTATTTTCCACTCACCCAAGAGCAGCTGGTTTCACTCCTGGGAATATGATGGTGGAAATTATGAATTTCCATGCAATAGTAATAAGAATAATGGCAGCTAACATTGAGTGCTTACTGTGTGTCCCTGTTAGTGCTTTTTGTGTATTGTCTTTAACCCTCACAATCGCCTTGTAAGGAAGGTACTGTTATTTCGGTTTTCAGACAAGGAGACTGGGGACTGGGGAGGGTAAGAGGTTTGCCCAAGGTCACCCAGCTAGGATGTGGCAGGGGCAGTATGGATCCAGGGCCATGTTTGAACCCAGTGTCTGTCACATGGGGGCGTTTCTTACCCAGAGTCACAGAGTCCCAGGCCCGCTCCCAGAGATCTGACTAGGGGCCAGCTCTGGGGCCCAGGATTCAGCACGTCTGATCAACTCCAGGTGACGCTGCACTGCCGGTCTGAGGACCAGGCTCTGAACCGCTCGCTCCACTCTGCTGCCTTGCGTGTCTGCCTGCAGGTATTGATCACTCTCGGCCTTTGCCCCTTCATGGGGAGGCAGGTGGGGCGATGCAGAGCTCACCCCAGGCTAGCAGCCCAAGGGGCAGATTGTGGGCACAGCAGAGCCTGCTTGGCAGGGTGGCTGGCGAGGACTTAGAGGAGAACATGTCTAGCAAGGGCCCAATGCCAAGGTCATGAACTGGAGGCCCGTGGGCCAGGCACAGCTGGTCTACAGACCTGTTTCTACAGGCCAGCACAGCTCTAAAAACTAGACGATCCAATGACCAACATTGTAAAAATCAGAAGATGCAGCATTAGAATCTGTTACCCAGCTTCCCTTGCACAGTCGGAAGCTCTTCTTCTGCTGAACCTGCACTTCTGCAGGGACCAGGAGGGGTAGCCGTTTTTTGGTTGGCCCCAGTGCCTCCCAGTTTTTATTGTTGGCCCCCATTAGTGATGATATTAACACAGGCTTTGATACGGACCTTGGTTCAAGTCCCATCTCCGCGACTGTGTGTCTCTGATTCCTGGGGCAAAACTGAGCTTTTCTTACTCATCTGGAAAATGGGAAGAATGAGACCTACTCTGCAGTATCATTGTGACAATTATAGTGTAAAGCACTCAGCCTAGTGTCGAGCATGGAGTGGAAGTTCAGCATTCAGTGGCTTTTATGAAATCATTTTGCTGTATAGGGAGAAAAAAACCGTAAGTGTGAGGCCCTTGGCATTCAGGGATGATGGGATGACTTCTGATGGCAAAATGGGGCAGGTTTTTATAAAATGCTGTGCTTTTTACCCTCATCCGTGGGTCGTTTCTGAAATGCCCACGCAGCAACTCATCTGCCCTGCTCCCAGCCCACTGTTGAATTGTGCAGGCAATGAAAAAATGTTCAAGTGTTCTTTTCTGTTTGGTGTGGGAGGGCGGGGTAATCCGGGCCTTTCTCTGGCATTGCTTTTGAACTTTCTAGTGGTTACGTATAGTGGATGATTTATTTTCTGGGTAAAGGTTAAGCTGCTCCCCCTTAGCTTGTGTGACTCCACCCACCCAGAAGCTGAACTGGTTTGGGGTTTGGGTATATTCATGTGATTATTGTCTTGTTACCTGATTTTCTCTGCTTGTCTTTCCTCCACCATGAATTAACCTGTTTTTTTTTTTTCTCTCTCTAGATTATTTGCTCTCTAATAACTATGTAAATTCTATCATTGTCCATAAGTTTGACTTTTCCGATGAAGAAATTATGGCATATTACATATCATTCCTGAAAACACTTTCGTTGAAACTCAACAACCACACTGTCCATTTTTTTTACAATGAGGTAAGTGGCTGCTGGGGGAGGGGCTCATTCAGGTGCAAAGCCAGCTGGTCAGAGCGGCACCTGCTGTCCAGGTGGCCTGCTGGCTCTCTCCAAAGCAGTGATGTGCTCGTGTTTCCTGATTCTCATTGCAGCAGTGCTTGACCTTGGCAGGCATGCTGGAGTATTTTTTAAATTTAATGTTACCTCCCACTTTTGAGGTAAAATTCAACTAGGGCGAGCTGAAAGCATTATAGTTGGTGGGGAGAAGTGCTTGGGAGTTGACTTGGGGGTCGTGTTACCCTGTGGGGAACATAGGAACGCCAGCCAGACCTAGGTTTGCCACCTCCCTGCTGTGCGACCCTAGAAAAGTCCCAGTCCTCTGAGCCTCAGTTTCTTCCTCTGAGAAATGGGGATGATAACATATACCTTGTAGGTTTTTTTCAGGGATTGAATGAAATGAGATGATGCCCTCAAAGCACCTCGTATATACCTGGCTCCCTAAAATCATAGCTATTACTATTCTTAACAAGCTAACATCCCTGGTAATCCTTGGGAAAATTGCTAGAAATTTAAAGAAATAAACTGTTGTTCTCACAATTAAAAAAGTAGGTGGAGCAGGCCCTGGCTGATGTGCCTCAGTTGGTTGGAGCACTGTCCCGTAAACTGAAAGGTTGTGAAGGGTTCAGTTCCTGATCAGGGCACTTACAGGAGACAGCCGATATATGTGTCTCTCTCACATAGATGTGTTTCTCCCTCTCTCTATCCTTTCCTTCCCCTCTCTCTAAAGTCAAAAAGCATGTTCTCAGGTAAGGATTTTTTTTTTTTAAAGTAGCTTGAACAATAGGTCAGTTTGTCTCATACCAAATGGTACAGATCCACCTGTCCTGGGGCCAGTTCATCCTGTGACTCAACCATTCCAAGGACCCAGGCTTTTCCATCTTCCTGCTCTGCTGACCATATAGAAGGCATCTCTTCCTCAAGCTCAACCCTTTATGGTGTCAGAATGGCTGCAGCAGCTCCAAACGTCACATGTTCACATGCCGCTGCCAAAAAAGCCTGATGAGATCACTTCCCTTTCTGGTCTCTCTAACTTCCAAAAAACTTCTTTCCCAGAAGCCTTCCAGCGCACTTCCTCTCACGTCTCGCTAGTCAGAATTTGTCACATTTATTACACAGTGTTGTCTAGCATTTGGGAGTGCCCTGGCAGGGCATTTCTGGCTTGGCGTTTTGTGACGCTGCAGTCATCTGAAGGCTGGATTGGTATTGGAGGATCTGCTTCCAAGGTGGCTTGCTCATATGGCTGGCCAGTTGATTCTTGCTGCTGTCGGGAGGATTCGTTACATAGGTTTCTCCAGGGACTGTTTGAAGGCCCCCATGGCACGTTGGCTGGATTCCTCCAGAATGAATGGTTCAGGAGACCAAAGCAAGCTGTGATACCTTTTATGACCCAGCCTTAGTGAAGCCACATACCATCCCTTGTGCCGTATTCTTCAGTCCGCAAAGGGCCAGCCCTGATTCACTGCAGGAGAGGACGACACCAATGTGTGAATACAGGTTAGGATCACTGGGCCATCTTGGAGGCCAGCTGTCACATAGCCACATGCTGTTTGCCTGGCAGGTAGCTTCTGATCGGTGGTTACATAAAACCTGTGTTTGAAATCAGACCATACTCCCAAATATATCCTCTGAGTTTGGGCAGAATCCGTCTAGCTGTTCCCATAGGATGTGGAAACAGTGGCCTGAACCTTGATTTTCTTTGTCTAGATTAGTAGTGGGGAAGAGCTGGCCTTAGAGGGAAGAATTATTCGCTTCCAATCACAAAAACTGGCTCTTTGAAAAGACATTGTGTGGCCCAGTACCTGGTACACAGCAGGTACTCAATAAATGTGTTCAGCAACCAGATAGGTGATATTAGCATTTTCTGAGGGGTTCTCCCAGGTGGGAGAAAACCCACCTGCAGAGTTCAGATCAGAGAGAGGAGCGGACTCTCCCTCCTCCACTCACATGCAGCTGGGCTTCTGCGCACCCAGCTGGGAGGGCAAGACGCTGGGCTTCTGGGCCCAGAGTGATGCTTCTGGAAGAAGATCCTGCCGGTCACCAGAGGAGTGGTAGGAGCCTCATTTTGAGGTGGGCTTGGTTTCCTCTTTTATGTGGGTCAGTAGAGTAGCTACCGATTATTAAGTGAACGCTTCATTTCTAGTGCTCAAAGTCGTGTGTGTGCTTTTTTTTTTTAATTAGACAGTTGTCACCTCCCTGGAGGTGGCCTCTTCCCCACTCCCTCACTGCGTGTGAGCGCTCTGCAGTTGGCTCCGGAGCCACGGGGACACACTGGCCTGAAGAGGGCCGCCAGTACGCCACCTTTCTGTTCGAGACCCAGGTCGTGTGCTTTTTTAGGCTCCAGCAGTGGGGTTCTGTGGTTCTGAACTGTTTTGATCGGTCTGATGATCCCTTTTTAATGTCAGATTTCTAAGACCCTCCTCCATCATCATAATGTTTATATTTTCAGTATTTCCAAATAGAGGAATATACAGGATGGGGGAAAAAGTAGGCTCACAGTTGTACATGAAACAGTTTATTTTTGTAATATTATTTATTTATTTTTGTATTATTTTCCACATAAACAACCATAAACCTACTTTTGTCCCATCCTGCGTAATTGCCGAGGGAAATTCCAAATGTAGTAAAACTTGACACTTGACCTTTTTTCCTTTTCTTCTTTCTTTCCTTCCTTCCTTCCTTCCTTCCTTCCTTCCTTCCTTCCTTCCTTCCTTCCTTCCTTCCTTCCTTCCAGCAGCATCTAATAATAACTAGCATTACTACTGAATGCTTATTAGGTGTCAGGTTGCTGAGGTTAGCATTGTATTGGAAATAACCTCATTTAATCCTATCAGTTATCAAGCAGGAGTTATTTATCCCTATTTTCGAGATGAAGAAACAGAGGCTTAGAGATACCACGTCACACAGTGATGAAGTGGTAGGACAGGCCCCTGGTCTCCCCTCCCTGTCCCTGCCCACAGTCCCTGTGGGGAGAGAACTGCGGCCTTAGCGTCCGTGCTGGTAACTTCTTTTCTTTTTTGGCTTTCACTGAAGTCCGTGATAGGATTCAGAAAGCTGGGGTTGGGGCAGGTCTGTCTTACTGGTTTATAATTTCTTTTCGGTACTTCTTCTGTTTTAGCACACTAATGACTTTGCCCTGTACACAGAAGCCATCAAATTTTTTAATCACCCTGAGAGCATGGTTAGAATTGCTGTCAGAACCATCACATTGAATGTCTACAAAGGTGAGTTTTCCTTACGATTTCTACCTTTGGCAGCTAGTGCTCTCTCTCTGGAGTCTATAAATCCAACTTTCTGGTGATAACAGGGAGCTCACTTATTTTCAAGGCTTGTAGTCATTGAACGTGTAGCTGGCCCCTTACAGAAATTTTTGAACAACTCTTTTCCCTGCACACTCAGCTCTGCATGTTCAAGTCTCAGTGCTGGCGCAGAAGCAGTAGTGTCCTAAGAGAGGCATATGTGGGACTTGGAGCAGCTGTGTGGTCATCAGATAAAGTAGAGTTGTCTTTTAAATGTTAGATTTAAATTTTTGTGTTTTGGCTTATGAAATATACTTCCAGGGGGTATGTATCTTTAAATAACGTGTAAGAGCATTTCATATCATGAACAGCAGGGGGCAATATTGTACTCTCAGCCTGCTGCCAAAGCCACCTTTTTTTCCAAGATGTACTTAATGCCCAAATCATTGCCCCCAGGAGAAAGCCTTCCAGGGCTCCCTGCCCACACCAGCACAAAGGCTGGCTGCACAGAAGTTCCCTGACCTGGAATTGCCCTTCAGGGCGATGCTTTCTCTTCCTAAAGCTGGGGTTGTTTTCCCTGTAATCACCACACTGGAGCTGGGACTGTTTTCTCAGGCAACAGAGGGCTTTGACCTTCACAAAGTAGGATGTTATTACCTGAGGTGACCCCTAATTGGGTGGAGGTGGGAGCATCCCAGGGACTCGTGCAGCCTAACTCTGGGACTGTGTTAAACTGAGGGGCCTTTCTGAGAACTCAGCGGGACCTACCCAGAGGTCTCAATCTGAGGGACTATCAGCGAATCCAGCCCTCAGACAGGTTTTCATTGGTTTAGATATATATTTTTTTAAATATATAGTTTTCAGTATCTAAAATTTAGAAGATGTTGGGCAAAAATCTAGATTTCTGACTTGAAAGTGTAGATTTGGCCATTCCAGTGCTGCAGGGTGGTGGTGAGCTGGCGCTAAGAAGCAGTCGCCCGCTGTGGGGTGACGCTCCCAGTTCACAGGCTGGGCCTGCTGGCTTCACTCACTGAGTCACTGGCCAGCCCAGCGGACTTCTGAGTTCGAGGCCTGGTCCCAGCTGCAGTTCTGCAGCCTCCTGTTACCTGTTTTCTCTTGTTCTCTTCTAACCTGTGTCTTTCAGCTTAGACGCCTCCTGCCCCAACTTTCTCCCTCTGAGCAGCTGTCTCACCACCCCTGTTCCTAACCCTGTTAACCGTTGTCTGTTTTTTGCCTTTCCTTCAATGACGAATTCCGTGTTCCTTATCCCAGTGTCATGTAAGTTATTAACCTCTGGTTTTACACTTTCTTAACTTATCGTTACATGTAAATACAGGAAACTTGCTTAGAATGGCGTAGCTTTCCTTGTAATCTAGCTAAATACACTGCTGATACGTAGGCTTTCTAATGCACTATTAATATTTAGCCCAGTTAATTAATTTTATTAATAATAAACATAGCATACCTTGACAAATACAGTTTTATGAATAAGATAACCATTTTCAAGTACTTTCAGGATAGACAAGAGATTCAGATTGTAATAGCAAGCTTTTTCTTTATTTGTTGCTGCTGCTATTGTTGGTTTTAAATCTCTCCCAAGTTATTTTTGGTAGCTTGACTCTTTTTATTTCTTCTTTTGTGAATTTTCTCAGTGGATAACCAGGCCATGCTACACTATATCAGAGACAAAACTGCTGTCCCTTACTTCTCCAATTTGGTCTGGTTCATCGGGAGCCACGTGATCGAACTTGATAACTGTGTGCAGACTGATGAGGAGTAAGTGACCTTGTGGGCTGCTCGTGAGGTAGACAGAGTGGTTAGGGGAGAATTTCCTTTTTATTGGGGAAAAATAAACATTAGAACAAAACTTACTTGCCTACATGTCAGCAGAGTATGGACTTCTCTAAAAGCTCCCACCCATCAGTCTACTTTTTATAATAGTGGAAAACTGGAAACAACTCAGATACTTCCCACAGGGGTTAGGGTCCATACATTCAGTACACCTACAGATGGGGTGCTAGGCAGCTGGTGACAGGATAGGCCAAATGCGGTATTTGGATATGATAGAATAGTGTTCAGCAATAAAAAGGGGTGAAGCACTGACACATGCTATGCCACTGATGAACGTGGGAAGCATTATGTTCGGTGAAAGAAGCCAATCACAAAGGACCACATATTATATGATTGCACTTATATGAAATGTCCAGAATAGGCAAATCCATAGAGACAGAATGTAAATTAGTGGTTTTCTAGGACTGACGAGAGAAGTTTATCGGGGAAATGGAAAGTGACTGGCTATGAGTAAAGGACTTTTTTAGAGGAGGCAGGTAAAAAAGTTCCAAAATTATGATGATGGTTGGATAACTCTACAAATACACTAAAACCCATTAAATTTTGTAATTTAAATGGGTGAATTTTATGGGATGTGAATTATATCTCAGTGTATTAATTTTTTAAAGAAAGGTTAAGATGGCAGTTTGGGCCCTAGAGTGATGAATGGAAGTTCTGGAGGATTTCTCAAAGTCAGCACGGTTGGCCTTTTGAACTAGCTAATTCTGTGTTGTGGGGACAGGGCTGGCTTGTACATTGTAGGGTGTTCAGCAGCATCGTGGCCTTTACGCACTAGATGCCAGTAGCACCCCTTTTCCAGTAGTGACAACCAAACGTGTTTCCAGACATTGCCAAATGTCTCCTTTAAAATTGCTGTCAGTTGAGAACTGCTGTGCTGGAGCGACAGCTTTGCGCAGACCTGGTGAGAGGCACACTTAGAAGGGGTCAGGACGATAAAGGGACTCAGGGTGGAGGTCTCTGGGGGGTGGGATAGGGAGAGGGAATACTCAGTCTCATATCGAGAAAGAAGCAAGCTTAGGTGGATGGCAGATCTGATGGAGCGTTTGGGAACATATGGATATGAACAGGTGTAGATGTGAAACATAAGGAGTCATTTAACTTCCCAAAGAAGAAAGAGTTAACAAGGAAGGAAGTGAACCCCTAGCCCCCGTTAGTCTCTGCAGCGAACACTCCTGATGATATCAACCCCAACTGCCCAGACTGCTGGGGGAAGGAGTGGAGGGGACGCGGAAGGTTTAGTCATAACATAATGCATAGTGGCTCGGTCAGAAAATAGAGGTTCTCACACGTTACAGAAATATGGGAGGGACTGTCCACAGAAACTGAAAGAGTTAAACACGACCTCCTCTGGAGAGTGGGCGGGAGTGGGGGAGGCTGGGCCAGGAGCTGCTTTTTTTGTTATCAGCTTATCAGTACTACTTGATTTTTAAACCCACCTGCATATATTACTTTGATAAGATTTTCTTTTAAGTAAGGGTTTAAAAAGTAAAGTGCATTACATATCCTGCTAAAGAAAAATTTCCACAGTATTTAAAGTGGGGTAAAAGCTTGTGAAACACTGTGTATAAATATTCTGTGTCTCGGGTGAGCAGTGCGTTTGTATGCACTTATTATATTTTGTGGCTTTACAAAATGTATTTACTAAATATCATATTAAAGTATACTAAGAACTAATTATCCAAGAATATGTAAAAGAAGCAAAAGTGATCTTGCTTTTACTTATTTTTTAGAAGTAGAGATGATGAGATGGGTAGATGAGTTACACCTGCATTTTCAGTGTGACTGTGATCAATGTGATAGAAAATGGTAGATGCATTTTTGGTGTGATAATAGGGGGGAGCACTGTGGGACAACAGACTGTAGGGTCACAGGTCCCCAATATCAGTGCTGGGTCTACAGGAGACTTTGATTTTTTTTTTTTGCTTTTGTTTTCTTTTATAATATTCTGTCTTCTAAAATGGCTATCCATTACTGGAATGCTACAATCAAAATGTCTTGCCCTATCTAGATTGCTCTTTGCAGCAGATACCGTTTGGGGGGTGGGAAAAGTGTGCCCACCAGCTGTTTCAGGGGCTCTGCCATCCTTGGCGAGGTTGAGACTGACCCACCTGTGGGGCCCAACCAGCATGACTGTTGTCTCACTGCGAGGTAACAGAGACCTTCTGGGGCCTGGCGTGAGGTGTCCCGTCCTTGCGCTCTGCCCCACATATGGTCAGGGCCAGTGGGTCCCACACAGCTGCTGAGACATGCTTTTCTCTTCAGAACGCCTCTGGAGCATTTTAATTAGCATGGATTTATTGCTCCATTAATACTGCTTATCTTGGAAGCCATGGGATCTTGCCACATTGGCTTGTGGCTATTGTGACTTGCTAAGAGCTTAGCTTGTTTTTTCTTTGTTTACACATCTTGTTTTGTGGTTGTGGTGGTAGTGGAGGGTGAGTTAAACTGAGGCCCCCAGAGGATGTGAGGATCCCAGAAGTCCCCTAAAATCTATTGATTAGAGTAGACCTGCCCATTTTCCCTTTGTGCATCCCACTAGTAAGGGCCAGGACAAGTGTCTGCTGAAACAAATTCAGTATTTGTTGTTCGAGCAGATGCGCCCCAGTGATCAAGTCTCAGGCCATTGATTCTAGGCCCAAGCTTTGAGCTTCAAATTCCAGGCTGAGGTTGTCATTTTTATTGGCAGGCACCGGAATCGGGGGAAACTGAGTGACCTGGTGGCTGAGCACCTGGACCACCTGCACTATCTTAACGACATCCTGATCATCAACTGCGAGTTCCTCAATGATGTGCTCACAGACCACCTGCTCAACAGACTCTTCTTGCCCCTGTACGTGTACTCACTGGAGAACCAGGACAAGGTAGGTGTGGGGACCTGGTCCCTTAGCTCCTGCAGGCCGAAGGTCATCTTCAGAAGGGAGAACAGCCACCTTGAGTAGGGATCTTCACAAGGGTCCAAGGCTTTGTGCATGCAAGAGATTCCTTTCAAAGCACACCGGTTTTCTTTTCTTTTCCTCTTCCTGAGAGTAGTGGAGGGGGTGGACAGTGTGTGTGTGTGTGGGGGGGGGAGCATCAGACCGTAAAAACTGTAAAAGTGAATGAGAAAAGAAGACAGACATCAGAATGAAACAGGAAACCTCTACCCATTTAGGGTTTTGGCTTTTGTGCATCTTTCTCTTGAGGTGTTCTCATCCTACCAAGGATGAGAACACCTCAACTTTTTCTGGTAGTTCCAAGGCTAATTGATTTGGAGAAGACCCAGTAAGCCACAAACCTGGCACACTGAGTGGACAGGAAGAGATGGAGTGTACTTAAGGGAAGTTCTCTGGTCAGCGACTGTCCCCAGTCAGCAGGCCCACACCCCCTTGTGGGAAGAGTGCCTATTAGAAGTGCACGTCCTCAGGTGCTCTCCCCGCTCTCAGGGGTACGTCTGGGGGGCCCATAAGTTTCCACATTTAACTTGCCCCCCCTTCCCAAGGGATTCTGAGCTGCTGGTTCTGCACTTTGCCCATGAGAAATGCTGCTTCGGGAAGCGGAAGCCTTCTGTCCAGTCCCTCCCAGAGTTAAGGGGGCAGAGGCCTTGGTAAGAGGTGGGACAGAGCCAGACAGGTAGGTGAGGGGGCTTCGGCCTTGCAGATGTGTCTCACAGGGGCGTAGCTTTCTTTTTGGAGATAGAAGATGGAGATTATTACTAAAAATAAGTAAATGGAAGAAAGTTACAGCCCTAACTAAATCTAGTAGAGGCAGCTCTCGGAGGAAGACAGAAAGCAGGGAAGTGGCTTTTTTCAGACCTGGGTTCAAATTCTGTCTCTTCTCTTTCTTTACTCTGTCACCTTGGACAAGGCAGTCCGCCTCCCTGAGAAGAAGGAGGCTCCTCCCAGTGTCGGTGTGAGCTGGAGCTCGTCGAAGCTCAGTACAAGTGAGGGGCTTTTCCCAGGCGGCTGCAGGGCCCCAGTCTCTCCCTGCCCCGTTTTGAAAGCTCTTCCTGAGAACAGGCCTCTGGGGGACCTTTCCTGACAGGCTGCGCCTTGGACTTTCGATGCCCCAGCTGAGGGAAATTAACATTCTTGGTAATTTAAGGAGCCAGTTCTTCTTTTAGGTCTAGCCACTAATCCATGACTAATGGTGAAAGATTTCTCAGGTGGAAAAATCATGGTCTTGCAAATGGTATTGAATGGGATTAGACTGTGAATTTTTTTTGCAGAGTGGACTTTTGAATAACACCAGGCCAGAATAGCTCCAGGTACTGGAGGAAGTCAGGGGGGCAGGGTGCCTCTCCTTGAGACAGATGGCTTTTGGCTGCGTGTATTTTGTGCCGCTCACTTGTGTGACCCGGATTTCTCTCTCTTTCCCCTCCAACCTTCACTAGGGAGGAGAACGGCCAAAAATCAGCCTGCCGGTTTCGCTCTATCTTCTGTCACAGGTATGTGTGGTCACTTGCCCACGTCTCCACCACGTTCACACTTAGGGGGCCTTGGCACACAGCTGCACTCAGAAATTTCCCAGGCACATTGCCCTGTCTTCTCTCTCAGTGTCCGCATCTTGAAAATCTTGAAATAAAATAAAAGGAAAGGGGGTTCTGTTTTCTAGACACTGAGTAGAGGTGCCAGTGTCTTCTTTATGGTAGTGGATGAAAATTTAACAAGAAATGAAAAATAAATCTAACCTGGCACTGAGGTAGTTGAGTTTTACCATGGGGATGGAGGTTTCCAAAACAACCAAGGAGTGTTCTAAATGCCTAGGAAATGTGGACTGTCTGGGTCTTATTCACGGCATTTCGAAATAAGCCCCCAACTGTAGGACTCACTGTGTGTATACACACAGTGACCTTGGTTTTAAAAACTTCCTCTATTGAGGCTGTGTTTAAAGGCTTTTATCATGGTTCTAGTTCCCAGATTACCTTCTGGAAGGTGTCTTGTAGCAGCCTCAGTCCCCAGATTTGCATCTTGAGCCAATTTGTCTGCCTTCCCCTTCAGTGTGTTTCTTTCTCATAATTATGTAATATTTACAAGAAGGGAAAAACTCCATGGTGACCCAGTTACATAACTTTAAAAATATTTTTATTACAAGCAGTCCAGACTTTTAGGCCATCTCATTAGACTGTCAAATAGTCAAACGTTTGACCAGAGCTCTGTTCTCACTTCTGCAAATGGCACAGGTATTTGTTTGCTTTGCTGAGAGAATGTCCTTCTAACTTGGTCCCTGGGCCGATTTCAGTTTAAGGTGGGGCTGTCTCCCATTGGCCTGAGGAGAGATGCAGACCCGGCCTCCTCCCAGTGACTCAGCCGATCAGGATGCAGCGGCCTTGCTCACTGTTCACCCCTGGAGTCTTGTTCTAGGGGCTCTGTTTGCTTGGAGCTCTGCACTGGTTGCTGACTCCTTCTGAATGCCCCTCTGTGTGACGGAGCTCAGTGCAAACCCCAGCCTCTCCTGGCAGCTTTTTCCACCACCTCATTACAAATCCACCAGCATCTCCCACTTGGGATTCTGGGAGTCTGGTAGGACCCAAGCAGACCAGATGCTCAGCCACAGGAATCTCATGGAACACACCTTCAGGACCCTTCAGCTGTTGGAGCTTTGCACAGGCCGGGTCTCCTCTGAAGAGTAAGGGGTCAGACCACGTCTCTGCTATGAGAACCCTTTACCTTCTGTCTCTTATTGAAGCACCAGCAGCTCAGACACCTAATTACTTGTTTCAGTATTTCACAAAAAGTATAGCTTATAATTTGCTGTGCCTTAACTTGAGTAGCAGAGTCCTTCCTCCCCTGTGTTTTCATTTAGCTTTATTATAATGTTGCCTAAGTGTGTGAAAACCTTGAAACAGGTATAAATCCCATGTCCTAAGCCCTGTGTCGAAGCATCCTCACCAGCTATTTTACAAGCATAGCCACACAACCAAGAAAATTCCCATTAACAACATTGATTTAGTGTGATGGGATTCTGTCCTGAAGCTAAACTGCCACTGGTAACAAGAGTGTGGCACAGATAAGCTGGCCCAGCTTTTCAAATCTGGCCTGCAGACACTTCCATGTACTGTGTAGTGACTGGCTCTCCCCTTACTTTTCTCCATCCAGAGCCGAGGGAGGAGTGAGCCCTGTGTGCGTCCATGGGTGGGAGCTGGTCGGCCTTTGTCTGGTGGGCCAATAATAGGTGCTCACTGAATGTGGACTGAAAGATCACTAAATGATCATGAAGGTCACATTCACCCAGGTGCACAATAGGTATTTGTGGAATGAATGAACTCAGTGATTGGAGTTCTTTTGTGTGTGATTAAGTGTGGTAATAATTTGGCCATGTTGAAGGTGAGAAAACTTCTTTCATCATCATAATTGCTAACAGTTCAATGCCTGCCACAGCCCTGGACACTGGTGCATTCATGTGGTTATACTGTGTAGTCTTCAGGATAGAAAATGTCTTCCTGGTGTTTTAAAAACAGATGTTTTTTGTTTGTTTTTCTTTTTGTTTTTTAGGTAGGCACCAACCACATTTTGGCTATTTTGCCTGTACTTTTAATTTGAATTTTTTTTTTGAACAATGTATTCACCCTATTCAAACAATACAAAGTGACATGTAGGGAAAGTTTCCCTCTGACCCCTTACCTCCCGGGCACCCAGTCCTAGTCCCCAGAGGCAGCCAGTTTCTGTTTCTGCCTTTACTTTTTTTTAAAACAATATTTATTTTTAAAAACATTTTTGTTAAGTTAAAAAGTTCAGCCCTGGCTGGTATGGCTCAATAGATCAAGTGCCTGCCCGTGAATTAAAGGATTGCCAGTTCGATTCCCAATCCAGGGCACATGCCTGGGTGGTGGGCCAGGTCCCCAGTAGGGGGCACTCAAGAAGCAAGCGTACACTGATGTTTCTCTCCCTCTCTTCCCCTCTCTAAAAATTAAAAAATTTAAAAAATTAAAACAAGTAAAAACCAAGATTTCTTTCTACTTTCATTCAGCCCCCTGATTTTTATTCTCAGAGACTAGTTACGGGGATTTCTTCTGTCCTTCCAGAAATGTTCTCTACCAGGGGTTCTCAACTAGGGATGATTTTCTTTCTTTCTTCTTTTTAAAGATTTTATTTTTTAGAGAAAAGCAAAGGGAGAGAGGGAGAGAAACATCAATGTGTATGGTTGCCTCTTGCACCCTCTAGGCACCTTCTGGAGACCTGGCCTGCAACCCAGACATGTGCCCTGACTGGGAATCAAACCAGCAGCCCTTTGGTTCACAGGCCTGTGCTCAATCCACTGAGCTATACCAGCCAGGACTCAAATGGGGGTGATTTTCAAACCCTTCAGTAGGATATTTGGCAACACCTGGAGGCATTTTTTGTATCATAACTGGGTTGGGGGTGCTATTAGCATCTAGTGGGTAGAGACCAGAGATGCTGCCAAATATCCTACCATGCACAGGACAGCAAAGGACTATGGCCTGACAGTAGTGCCAAGGTTTAGAAACCCTGTTCCATGTATGTATAAGCAAATACAAATATGTGCACACACCCTTTTTATATATAAATAGTAGATAACCCCACACTGTGCTGTACCAGTTTTCCCTTTACATTTTAAAGCAAAGTAGCAGGTGTGTCTGAATCAGCTTTGTGAGGCAGTTTTGAATACGCTGATTCCTAAAGCCATTCCTCTGAATATTGGGCAACAGGGTGAGGTAGTGGGGCCATCCCACATGGCCCAGTGCCTTCTGATTTTGCATCCTGGCACAACTAGGTCTGCTTCTGGCTCGTGCGGCTTTTCTTCCCCACAGTTTCTACACCTACCCACACTGCCATGGAATTCTGATGTGCTGAAGCCCGCTGCAGGGGTCAGCACTCAGTCCAGTAATTTGGACCTCTGTGTAGCTGACTCTTTGCCAAGTCCTTGATTGGAACAAGACTAACCAGCCCTTTCTTTCCATATGACAAGACTTACCAGCCCTTTCTTTCCATATGTTGGGCTGGTACCTTCTAATCTTCATAATCAAATTTGACACTGAAATGCCTGTGGAGAGGAAGGAGTGTACTAGTTGGCTGCTCTTTTACCACATTGCTTCACTTCAGCTGGATTGGGCCTCACCCAGCCATGAGGGACAGTCTTGCTTTTAATGCATTTCCTTCCGCTAAAGACCAGCCAGCCAAATAGGCAACAGTCTGAATGAAAGGAGGGGGGACCCTAGAAGGAGAAACGTGTAACCGATTTCTCTTGAATGTGACCTGTTCTTCGGTTTTGTATCACAGGAGTTTCTGCTTATTATGGGGCTTGTGTAAGCCAGTGTTGCTACAGGTCAAGGAAGGAAGAAAGTGGAAAGAATGCACACTTTAATGCAAATCCATTTCTTCTTTCTCATCAGGTTTTCCTAATTATACATCATGCACCCCTGGTGAACTCGTTAGCTGAAGTCATTCTGAATGGCGACCTGTCTGAGATATACGCTAAGACTGAACACGATGTTCAGAGAAGTTGTGTAAGTAATTACCATTGGAACTGTTTCTAGACCTTGATAAGAAGCCATGGCTCATTTTGTTAACCTGTGTTTCTCTAAAACTGGAAACCAACATTCGTCTTATAGCAACAGGGATGTATACTGGGATTCAGGGAACCTAATTGGAGTCTTGAAAATGGTACCCAGGAAGATCTGGGGGTCTGTAATAAGAGTAGATTTACTGATTATATGTTCTTGAACATGGAGTTGTACTGCTCTGGGCCTCAGGTTGTATATCTGTGAGATACTATTATGGGGACAGAATGAGAAAATATCTTGTCTAAGGCACAAATAGCAATAGAGGCTGGACATGGACCATCTGTGAAGACATAGGCCCCACGAGAGGGCAATAGGGAGTGGTGAGGACTGAGGAAAATTGGAGAGTGTATGCATCCTTTGTGAGCAGCTGTTTGTTGTTCTACCCCAGCCTACAATCATTCTGCAGGAATATGGATGCAGTATTGCTAGGTTTGTCATGTTTCCAGAGAAGCTGGAAATCTGCATTTTGATGCAAAATGTTCTAAGTTTTTAACCACTCAACAGTGTCCTAAACAGACCATGTTTGTGGTTTGTGAATGTTTGTGTATTTTGTGCTCTGCTAAAGAAAAACACTGGATGACCAGTACAATGACTTCTCCTGATGCTTCCCCAGCTTGGCTTTTGTGTATCTTGCCTGCCTTCACCCCTCTCCTCTTGCTTATATGTACCGAGCTCCAGGCTACCTTAGTGCTGGTCCAGCTTGCTTTTTTCCAGTGTGCTCATGTTTCTGCCTTGGTACCTGTGCCCTTACCAAACCCCAATTCTGGAAGGCCCTTGCTGCTGGTCCCCTCTTATCAAAGATCTTACCAGCTTTAAGCAGCTTATGGTAGGCATCTTGTTTGTCATTGTATCTGCCGCTGCATGCACCTGGCAAACATGTCTGAGATGAGCCTGGTATGTAGGTACACGGGTAAAGGGCTGGCCTTGCCCCCAGGCAGTCAGCTCTGTTGCCATATCTGAAGGAGTGGGTGGAAGGTGATCCTGCAGCATGAAAGGCCAGGACTGTATGGTGCAACATTACAAGAGTCCCCTGCCCTTCTGGTTTGTCTGGTGTTCGATGGCTTAGCCAGGCCATTTTGTTCTTTCATGGAGCATTTTAGCCTCTGAAAAGGTTCCCAGAAACTTTCTGTCCTTGTTGTTGGTGGTGGCATTAGTTCAGCTGAATTGAATGGGGCCTTTTCATGGCCCCTGTCTGGCCCATCCTCTCTTAGATTCATTCAATACACGTTTTTTAAGCCCTTTCTTTGGATCGGGCATCATGCTAGTTCTGGGGATATACACAAATCTAAACAGTTTCTGTCTCAGTCCAGAGGAGCTTTCCAGTTCAGTAGGTGAGACAAATGTTGTTCAACTATATGAATGAATATACTATCTCGAGTCTTAGAAGGGCTCTAAAGAGGTGTAGTGTTTGGTGAGAGGATTTAACCTAGGGATGCTAGGAGTGACGAGTGTTGAGCAGGAAACACTCCCCTAGTGGTCCATGCCATGACATCACATGGTCTAGAAAACGTGGAGCTGATTTGGTATTTATGGGGCTGGAGATATTTTTTTGCAGCTTTTTAAAATTCACTTGCAGAATGAATGCAAGCAATGGCATGCTGAATCAGCAGAATCGGCCTCCCAATCAGAGCTGCTAAGGACCCCACCAGCCTGTAGGTTACCCTGGGCAAGTTGTTTGCCCCCCTGTAGAAAACAGGGAGAGCAACCCCTACTCCTCAGAGCCCTTGGTGAGGATGGGAAGCAAATACGTTTAAAGTGCCATCAAGTGCCTCACAGGTTGTATAGCCCGGTCCTCAGAGGTATTTGGTTTGGTTTGGTCTTCACAATGGGTAAAATAAAATTTTATGAATTGACAGCTTTAAAATTTAAGAAGTTTCACATGAAAATTGATTTCAGGATTGTCTTGGACAGTCAGAAGATCTGATCCCATGGTGCTCATATTTCTGCAAGGAAGCTTCTCAGAGGCTGCTGCCTTATCACATGAGGCGTGTGTTTGCCATTGAATTTGCCCAACCCCTACCCAGCCTGCTGCTGATTCATACTACATGTACATTAACAAGTTAGAATGTATTGGGTCCCTTTGGACTTTCTTTTGTCTCATGCTTTCCAGCCCCCAAAATAGCTCTAAGGCTTCACAGAATGTCTTCCTATATGACACTCATTGCTGAGGTTAGACTTCGTTTTCCAAGATGAACCCAGACATCACTGGGGTGCTGGGGTTTGCAGTTTTGTTTAATTTGCAAGTGATTGGCCTGCCTTTGTAAGAAATAATAATACCCTTTCCCTAGTTTTTCCCCATTGGTAACGTCTTGCAAAACTGGGTTAACATCTTGCAAAACTCTAGTACAGTACCACAAGCAGGATATTGGCATTGATACACGGGGTTTACAATTTGAGTAAAAGCAAATTGCAGAAAGTTACTGGTTACTTCTCAGTTTAGGACACCCACTTCAGTAAAACCCTCTCATCAGAGGGAGCATTTAGATCTGTTCTTTTCCCTGATGGCCTCCACATGGGATGAAGGTCGTTCCTCCAACGTGATAGACACACAGCTGCTCGTTGTGGTAGGCTCCTGAACTGAAAATGAGATCTTTTTGGAGTGTGGAAGGAATTGCCAGCCAAGTGAAAGTGCCACCTTTCTACTTCCGGTTTTTGCCTTTCCCTGGGTGTGAAATCAGAGTTTATTGTCTTCTGGTGACTGCAGTTGAAATTTGGGAAGAGCGGAGGGGAATCTCATTTATGACTTGTTTGACAATAGTCCTGGTAAGATTTACCTTCCTTCCCTCTGAGCAAGAACAGTCTCCTATTGTTTCCTGCCTAACTCGGATGTGGTTTGGTCATACTTGTTTTAAGTTTCTTGGTCTTTTTTAACCTACTTTCTCCTTCCCGTAATTTGTAGATAAGTTACTGGTATTGCTTCATTTTTACCAGCAGACCTTTCACAAAACCAAACCAAAATTGAAGAGAGAGAAGCAGAGGGAAGAGCAGAGCTATTTGAAAAGTCTATAATTTAGGGTTAAATTTAAAATACATCAGCATGGTTAGATAAATGTCTAATTGAAATTCGTCTGTGCATTAAAATAATATGGTTCCTGCTAAGGGATAATTTCTTGCTATAATTCTAATGCGGAGCAGATAGTGTATTTCTTGTCAGGGAAATAGAGTAAGAGAACACGAATTCTGAAACTGCCGCCATCTCATTATTTTTGCAAAATGAACATATAGATTAGATTATGGGATATGGCTCATGACCTGTAGGTACTTTTTTTTTTTTTTAAATAGGGACTTTTTTCATCCTGGGTTTCCGTGGATAGCTTCCTTAGTTTTTTCATTCATTCATTCATTCACTCCTCATCAGAGATGTGGTGGTGCACAGAAAAGACATGACCCCTGCCTTACCGGGCTTCCTACCCCGCACGGGAAGTCTCGGAGATGCTTACATCGTTTGCCAGAGATGCTTAGGGGGCACTCACTGCAGGAATGAATGACTCAATGGATGAACTGGTGATGGGGTCATGAGGGCCCTTTTGAGGTTCTTAATGACTCTCAGAAATAGCCTCAGGGCCTCACCCTCACATGCCACCTTCTCTTTGTTCACAGGCAGGCTTTTGGGGAAGGAATGCAAGAGTGGGTTGCTGTTGGTGCTGTTCCACATTCCACCTTAAGAGGCAGTCTAGTGGAGTGCACTCTGGAGCCAGACTGCCTGGGCTCCTCAAATCCTGCTTCCTCATCTTATTAGGTGTGCCCCTGGGTGAGTTAGTTCACCTTGTTCAGCCTCAGTTTCCTCCCCTCTCCAATTAGAGTAACAAGCATACAGAGCTCCAGTGGTGCAGTCGGTTAGCACACAGTATTTACAGAGTAACACACATGGATTTTTGGAGAGGGTTAAATGCAGCGTAAAGTATATGAATAGGAGACGTTATCATTATCATGATCTTAGTTTCTGAAGTTGCAGTACAGCCCTGTGTCCCCTACTTGGGGCATTTTTCTTGGTATGATTAACACAGAGGCACACTCACTACACCCTTAAGGAGGTGCCTTATGACAAGGCACAAAGGCATGGAGGACCAAGTGTTAGCAACAGCGATGGGATAATGACAGCACTAATAGTAAACGTGGCCGTTTAGTAGCAGTGGTCTGAGCCCTCTGTGTGCGTTCTGGGCCCTGGGATTCTGTCAGCTCCAAATACAGTTTCTGGAAAGTGCAAATGCTTAACCAGTTGATGTGCCTTGGCTGGCTAATAATTCAGAATGGGGTGGCAGAATAGGCTTATTTGTCCCAAAATGAGGGCACCAGCTGTCTCTCTGTTGGCATCATTTCAGCCATTTGCGATGGTCTCCAGGTGATTCAGTGGGGATCCTAAAGACTGAGTGTATACCTAGGATGTTAGCTACCAGTTCCTTATGTGACGCCTGTCCTTCCTGGGAACTGGGCTCTCTGCTAGCAGGACACTCTGCCAGGACATTGCTGGTGGAGCCAGCAGCTGTGAAAGCAGCAGCCTAGCTTCTCTGGCCTATGTGTTTGCAGAAGCAGCACCATGGGCTTGGGGCCCCCTGGTTGCTGCTTTAGGGCTCTTTTTAAATCAGGCTTGAGTCAGACAGCAGCAGTGCCTCCCACATATTGAATGCAGCAGGTAGACTAGACCCCCAGACTGGAGTGTCCCCACATCTTTCAGTGACTGACCTTACTTGTGACCTCTGGTTAATCAATGCTGGTTCTGAAGGACACACTTTTTCCTGAGAGTGGTAATAGGACTTGAGGAGAGGGTTGATTGCGAACACAGAAGACGAAAAAATAGACTTCTATAAGTCAAGGGCCTTAATTGGCACAGTTACAAACATTGCCATAAAAAAATTAGAACTCATGTGTATTCTCTCTTTTTTCGAAGCCGCTGTGGTTGATCCCATAATCCCTCAATGGAATTACAGCTCCCAGGCACCATT